GATGATGATTTGAGTGTTAAAAACATGCTGGATTAAACAGAAAATAAATACAAAATTTACAGTACTCGGAATTTCAAAAGATTATGAAATGGTTCTATAATTATTAATTTTAAAATTCAAATCTACAAATAAGAGCTAAATTGTTGTTTATTAACTAAAAACTTTAAATTTAAAATCAAGATTAAAGTTCAAATCTTTACAATTTTAAACAATTAACACTTTCACCGTACCCAAACAATATTTTTAAAATTATTTTCCTAATTAAGTCTAATTTAATTGTTATTACATGTATTTTTACATAATATCCTTTTTATATATTATATATAAATAACAATATTTAACTTTTGAGTTTAGAAAGGGTAAGGCCATTAAAATAATTAACCTTGATTAAAAAAAATTGTTCAAGTGGTGGACCGTAACATTGAATTATCAACCGGAGGAAATTAGACGTCGAAAGTCAAGTCAACTATAGAAATACAGTGACTGGTGAAGAGAGAACAAACAATCATATCATGTTGTCCCTACAAAAGTAGTTTTCAATTTTCCAACTTGCATGGAAATTTCCTAAATCATAAATGAGGTAAGCTTAGGAGTTAGGACCCTTTCAAGCAAATGTAAACAGTCATAATTTTCTTTTTCTTTTTCTTATGACGAAATGATAATAACTTATTAATGAATAATATAGAGAAAAATGTAATGTTTACAAGTGAATCAATATGGTGTAATTAATGCATAAGAGCCATTGCAAAACTTAACACTAAAAGTGTGGCCTACTATGAGATTCACTATAAAATAACTTAGTAATTTAATAATTACATAAATATTATCACTGAACTTAATTTTAAATCTTGTAATAAATTAGCTGCAAGTTTGCATAATTCACCTAAAAAATAAAAAAGGCAATAATGGTTGAGATATGCCACTAGTTAGAATTGGAATTTAATCAACAGCAAACTTAGAAAGCTGTTAAAAAAAAAAAAAAACAGCAAATTTAGAAAACTCCGAAAGAGATCAATTAACATGGATGACTAATTTATACGTTGAACCAGTAAGCCATTTAAGACACTAAGGGCTTGTTTGGTACAACAGTTAAAATTCAGCGGATAGCAAATAGCGGGTAACGGATAGTGGGTAATGGGTGG